GTCCTCCAGCGTGTAGGGCTCAGCTTCACGTCTAGTCCTTTTACCTTGACTCCTTTGCCTGCCACGACTCTTTCCTTCCTCCATCTTCACCTCCATTCCCTTAATCATTCCTGTACAAGTGCAAAATTTTGTCCTTCTGAATTTTTATAGGTTTTACTCAATATCTCTCCCCTCAGACCAGCCTCAAATGAGACAGTCATACTTTCATTTATTTTTCAAAATAAACAGAATTTATTTGTGGATTTTAATTAAAACGAGTAATTTCTTCCTCCCTCTACTCTTTCCTAAGCCTTCTATTCAACTCCACCTTTTCCTTCCCAAATGCACTGGGGCTGGAGACAGTCTGTGTGTACAGCACAGTAAGACCTGAAAAACTCATTCGCCTACTTCAGCCTCCTTCATACCTGCAGCTCGTTTATTCTGCCCCAGCTATCCTTACACTTACAGCTCATTTCTGATGAGAGTTACTTTCAGTTTAAACTAATTTTTATTTTAACATACAGCAGAGTGGGCTGTGCTGTGGTAGATTTAGGCCTATTTGTTCTTATTTACCTATACTCATGCTGTTTTGCTTTTATCCAGTTTTGGTATTTGGCTGATACTGGCTGCAGAGAATGCATTTTGTTATGTTTCCCTCTTCTCAGGTCTAATTTTATTAATTTGAATAATCTCTCTTTTTTCATTACTTTGACTGGGTGTTTGTCAATTTTGCTTAGTTTCTCAGTAAATTCTTTGATTATTTTACATATTCTTTCATTCTCTATTTCACTACTATCCACATTAATATTTATTATTTTTGCTTTGTACTGGGTTTGGCTTCTTATTTTCTTGAGCTTTAAGCTGTATATTAGATTATTTATTTGAGTGCTTGTGGAGATTTTACTGTGAGCACTTATAGCGATAACTTCCTCCTTAGATTATGTTGATCTATATTTGTTTCTTGGACTTTTTGAATTTCTGTCATGATTTCTTCAATGAAATATTGTTTCTCATTCAAAGGTGTTCTGGACTGGCACAGTGACTCAGGAGGTTGACCTCTTGGTAGCAATTTGATGTCCAGAAACCACATAGAAGTAAAAGAGAACAATTTAGTACACAAAGTCGTTCTCTGACTTCCACATATGTGTTCTATGTCATGCAAGAACCACGGAACAACTATGCCCACCTCCCCAAACATTAACAAAAAAGTAATTTGAGGCACTATTTGCAGTTGATGGTTTCTGTAGAAATAAAAGTTACTTTTCTTTAGGGATATGGGCCTTAGGAAATTACCTAGGCCCAGGGGATGTCCTCATGCCCCTGTGCTTAATCACAGCACTAACTAGTCTCAGAAGGAAGAAATGTAGGGAGCGAGGGAGGGAAGGAGGAAGGGAGGGAGGGAGGGAAGGAGGGAGGGAGAAAGCTTGACTATATCAATTTTATTTTTGGTTTCTGCTCCTGCTTAATGATGGGAAGGAAATGAAATCATGATTGTAACATTAAATAAAACATTCGTAGATCATTAAGAATGAGTTTTGTCCCCAGGATAGCCAAAACAATTCTATACAAAAAAAGTATTTCCGGAGGCATTATGATCCCTGACTTCATGCTTTATTAAAGAGCTTTGGTAATGAAAACTGCTTGGTATTGGCACAAAAATAGAGACGTTGACCAATCGAATCAAACTGAAGACCCAGATATTAATCCACAAACCTATGAACACCTGATTTTCAACAAAGGAGCTAAAATTATACAATGGAAGAAAGAAAGCATCTTTAACAAATGGTGCTGGCATAACTGGATGTTAACCTGTAGAAGAATGAAAATAGATCCATATCTATTACCATGCACAAAACTCAAGTCCAAATGGATTAAAGACCTCAGTATTAATCTGACCACACTGAACCTGACAGGAGATAAAGTGGGAAGTAGTCTACAACACATGGGCACAAGAGACCACTTCCTAGGTAGAACCCCAGCAGCACAGACAATAAGAGAAACAATAAATAAATGGGACCTCCTAAAACTGAGAAGCTTCTGTAAAGCAAAGGACACTGTCATTAAGACAAAAAGGCAACCTACTGATTGGGAGAAGATCTTCACCCACCCGACATCAGACAAAGGTCCGATCTCCAAAATATACAAAGAAGTCAAGAAACTAGACATTAAAACTCTAATTAACCCAATTAAAACATAGGGAACTGAACTGAACAGAGAATTCTCAATAGAAGAAATTCAAATGGCCAAACGACAATTAAGGTCATGTTCAACCTCCTTAGAGATCAGGGAAATGCAAATCAAAACAACTTTGAGATATCATCTTACACCTGTCAGAATAGTTAAAATCAAAAACACCAATGATACCCTATGCTGGAGAGGATGTGGAGTGAGGGGAACACTCATCCATTGTTGGTGGGATCGCAAAATTGTACAACCACTTTGGAAATCAGTGAGGCGGTTTCTCGGGAAACTGGAAGTCAACCTACCTCAGGATCCAGCAATATCACTCTTGGGAATATACCCAAGAGATGCCCAATCATACTACAAAAGCATTTGTTCAACTATGTTCATAGCAGTACTATTTGTAATAGCCAGAACCTGGAAACAACCTAGGTGCCCCTCAAAAGAAGAATGGATAAAGAAGGTGTGGCACATATGTACTTTAGAGTTCTTAGTCAGTGGTAAAAAAACAATGACATCTTGAATTTTGCATGCGAATGGACTGAAATAGAAAACGCTTTACTGAGTGAGATAACCCAGACCCAAAAAGATGAATATGGAACCCTGACTGCTCTTAGCATTGGAGATGGAGGGGGGCAGGAGGGGGTGAGTGGGAGGGAAATGGGAGGTGGGGAGGAGGTGAAAATTTTTAATAAATAAATGAACAAATAAACAAAGGATTTTGTCTCTCTGGCTCACATACACATTTTCCCCTTCTTTTTTATACTGGAATCAATTTTGTTTTTCTTCTCCTTGTGTCACAAACGTGACACTATCCACAAACATCCTGTCTACAATTTGATTCAATCTCCCTACCTCTCCCACCATTTTGGATAATAGCAGGTGGTATTTTTCCTTTAAGCATATCCTATCCTGTTCCCTCTAGAAGCTACTCCCAAATCTGCTCCACCACCATCCACTTTTTCCAGACAACAGTACCTTCTCCAAAATGCTGCCCCATGCTCTGTAGAGGATAGTGCCCTGAACCAATGGCATCATTGTTCTCATTGATAAAGTACTGTTCTTCCCACATATAACTCTCACCTGCTCTCTTGCTCGCTCACTCTCTCTGAAATCTTACATTTATTGCTTGGGTTGTATAGACTCTCAAATTAAAACTGACCTATACAAGACCTGGGACAAAGCATTCTCTAAACTAAATGTACATTCAATGAAGGTTACAGTTCATAGGAGATATCTTTAAATTACGTCTTCCACAACAGACTGGTGTATGTTTTAATGCCTGGAAGAAAACTCCCACTGGATTTTTTACCTGAATATTTCTTTTTTGTGAAAGCGTGCTTCTCTTTACATAACTTGAAGTTTTAGGTGATTAAAAACAATGAATTTTATTATGGATTTTCACACAGATGCATCATTTTACTTTGGTTATCTGTTCACATCCACGCCCTCCTTTCCCTTCTTCACTACAGATAATAAATCCTCCACTTCCATGTCACACTAATATAGATAGATACATACATATATGGTGTGTATATTATAGAAAATGTGATGTTTCTCTTTCTGGCTTCAACTCTTTTGTTTAATTTGATAATATCCTGGCCCATTTATTTCCATGCAAGTGACATAATTACATTGTCCTTTGAATAAAACTCCATTGTGTATGAATGCCACATTTTCTTTGTCTAGTTATCTTCTCATAAACATCCAAGCTGATCCAATAGTTTGGCTATTTTTACTAATGCTATAATAAGTATGGATGTGCATGCCATTTGTGACATTCGATTATATACCCACATGATCTAACTGGATTTCATAGTAATTTTGTGTTTGTTTTCATTGTTTTTGTTTGTTGATTTGCTTGTTTTTTAACTTGAGGGACTGTCATACTAATGTCCACAGATTCAGCAGCAGAAAACTCCCACAAATCAGTGGTTATATAGACTATTTGGAAGGGTTACTTACATGCTGAATCTGCTGTCCTGATAAATCTTCAGCAGAGTTTTATCTATACTCACTTTACCATGGGTAAAAGGAAGCTCAGAGAGACAGAACAGCTGCTCCATGATAAGACATGGTAAGTCATGAGCAGACGCTATCCCCAGGATTTGAAGTCACATCTGCATGAACCACAGGTCACTCACCCTACGCCATCATCCCTCCCACCCATGAAATAATAAGGATCCCTAATAGTTGACAGTGTCCTTGATTCAAGAGAGGTGACACCCTAGACCTTTAACACAGAAGGAGAAATGTGTTTAGCTATCTGGAATGAACAGTGAATGTTCATCTTATAAAATGACTCTTTGTAAGACTCTTCAGTAAGGATCTGTGGACAATAAACTTCCTCTGGAAGTCAAAGAAGAAGAGGGTCAATAGGAACTCTACCTACAAAAGGGTGTGTGGTTGTGCACTGACCCTAGCCACTGGGCCCATCAGGAACAGATGTAAATAAAATGAATCTGCTTAAAATTGGAAAATAAAAAAAGAACAAGAAAAAGGCATAGGCAAAGAAAGATGAAGAAGGAGAAAAAAGGGAAAGAATGAAAGGAGTGAGAAGAAGATGAAGAAGGACCCAGACGACAGAGAGGAGCAAATGAAGGAGAGGGGGTATGAAGGGGAAGAGAGTATCTTTTCAAAATTCAAACTACAATGCTGCGATCTGCAATATTTTTGGAAGAGCTCAGTGAAAGGTCACCAGTTGTCATTCTTAATAATTTGTTTCCTTGTTTTGTACAAACAAATCATAGGCTTCCTTGGCTCTGTTTCATGTTCTCTTGTCTTGTCTGCTACAATGCCACGTTGCTCTTATGACTTGCGTTCTTATTTCCTGGGTGATACTAAAGTGCCTGCCCAAGAAATAAATAGTGGAGAGCTGAGGTCTCAACTGCAGAAAGTACCTGATCTCCATCTTGTACCAAAGACCAACCCACAAGGGCTTCCTCAACATGAAGCTGGTCCTGGTCTTCCTGCTGGCCGCCATCCCCATTTGCTGCTATGCCGGCGCCGACAGTGAGTTCTGTGGAGGGGTGGGTGGTGGGTTCTGTGGAGGTTTGGTGGTGGGTTCTGTGGAGGGGTGGGCAGTGAGTTCTGTGGGGGATGGGAGGTGAGTTCTGTAGAGGGTTGGGAGGTGAGGACTGTGGAGGGGTGAACGGTGGGTTGTGTGGAGGGGTGGGCGGTAGATTCTGTGGAGGGGTGGGCAGTGGGTTCTGTGAATGGTGGGCGGTGAGTTCTGTGTAGGGTTGGTTGGTGAGTTCTGTGGAGGGGTGGGCTGCTTTCAGACCACACACTGTTTCTGTTTTATGGGAAGAAGCCCTAGTGCCTGAGCTCTAGAACTTGCCAACAGTGGTGCAAAGTGTCTGACTCAATAGCTCTGAAACTCAACGTTAGTCCAGATAGTCAAAGAGGCGTCACAGTTGCAGGTTGGGCTACAGCACTGAGCTGTGTGTGATATGTCACTACCACGCAAGAAGTCCCAAGATGATGACAGCTCTCCTAAAATCCATGGCAGGTCTTGGATTTGAATACAAGATATTTTATAGAAAATGGGGAAATATAAGTGACCCTGGAACTAAATGGGTTTCCTAAAAATTATACTTCGGAATCTCTTTAACTGTGGAAGGAGTTATTTCTCAAACTGTAGCATGTAACCTAGGAGTAAACAGTTTGTGAGCCATGACACAGACTGTGAAAGCTTGTTCTGACCCCTTCACATAGGGCCACTTACACCCTAGTCCTGCTGGTACAAAGGAGGAGAGTTCACATTCCCCAAGTCCACTTGAAGTAATAACAGAAGTAAAACTTTGTCCCTGAGAACGCAGTCAGTACAAACATGTCACAAGTGTCATGGACTTTGTATTTGCTTTGTTTATGTTGTCTCCTTCACTTATCTGAGAGGCTGGTGCAAAATGGCAAGAAGACGGAGTTCTCAGTTAACTTGATAGGAAATTCAGGGTTAACCTTGACCTCTTTCTCTTCCACTGGCTGAACAATGACATCACTTCAAGTACAAGAGTTTATAGTTTATGATACTTTTGATGCAGATGATAGAGTTAACAGTGACAATGGCTAATATTTATAAACTACTGTAAAATATTTCACAGGGTTTACAAAATAGTACTGAGCTGCATCATGGCTACAAGAAAGACACAACAGTTCACTGTGCCCCATCAGAACAAAGCTTCTCATTTCTTGTGTGTCATTGCTGAGAAAGGTCAGAGAGGTTTAAGGACACTCTTGGCTTGTTAGGGGCAAGTTTGCAGAAACTAAAGGAATCTTGCAGTCTGCTTCCATTTTCTGCAAGAGATCACTTCAAGTACCAGAGTTTCTGTTTAAGTTGCTCTGTGATTCAGATGCTCGAGTTAACACAACAAAGCTGATACTATTCTAGTCGTGATAGTTATAGGATGTTTGAACATATTCCATGATGTTCTCAAAACAGTAATAAAATGTGGCAGGCTTTGTCCAAATAGAGATCCAAAAAACTTACCATAACCAGCCCAACTGCCTGCCGTCTCTTCAGTATCCTTCTCAGTGAAGGGTCTGTAAGTGTTTGGTTCGGTTCTTTGTGCTGGGATGTCGGCGACAGAGTTTGCAGTTTCTAAGTGGAATCTTGCAACCTGCAGTTTCTGTCCCAGATTTGGCATTGCCCACACCTGTGCTTATCTGTGTCTCTACTTGTACTCAACAAGATGTTTGTGATGAGAGGTAACCCCTACCGAGTTCAGACCTCCAGTGATGAATGCCATGTCTTTCCAGGTTCTAACTGCCTTGCAATGGATGACGTCATTGCACAGCTTATTAACTCATCAGTGCCTGTGGATGATTTTCAGGGAGTGATTAAGTCATATGCACGTCTTCCTTATGATGAAAATGCTGTGAGCAAATTGAAACAATGTTTCCTAGACCAGCCTGAGGAGACTCTGGTCAATGTTAACGTGATGGTGGTAATTATACATTTTCCCTTTTTTGTATTATGTTGCTATGTATTTGTATGATGTACATATATATGCATACGTCATATACATATATGTGCATTGTTATATGTTTATGCACTTATATTTACATATATGCATACATATTTATATTCATAGGTATATATTTCCACTAATGAGGAAAAACAATTTCCAATGTTGTGACTGATAAGGTCCAAACAAACATTGTCTGTGTACTATTTTTGAACAACATAATTTAATTTAGTGGTGACAGTTTGTTCAGGAAAGCCACTGAAAGACACAGTTGATATTCCATATTATTTTGAGGATTTTAAAATAATTAAAGAAAAACACAAGAACCAAGGAGATCACCCTGAGATCACTCTCTAATACATTTCCTCCCAATCACACAAATATAGGTACACACATGCATGCATGTGCATGGGCAAATGTGCACACATGTGCACACACACTCACACATAAGCAAGTCATGACACACATAAAGCCCTCACACTAAAAATTCTTTAGTCAGAGAAAAATACAATTAGCTCTCAAGTAGTCCTGCTTTGTGTCAGTGACCAGAGACCCTTACATTTGGCACCAATTCAAAGCAAGTGAAGAAGACCCCAGTATAAGAATGTCATGACTAAGAGTCTCTTTCAATAATAATAATTATAATAATAATAATAATAATTAATAATAATAATAATCTCTTTTCAAGCATAAAAATGTAGTTCCAAGAATTTATCTAAAGTGTCCCTGTTCCATTTAAGCAACCCACAGGTGCCAATCTTAGGAATATGCCCAGTTTTAACTAAAACCACAGGAATACACAGGGCCTGAAAGTACTGGTGAGGGCTCTCTAGTCGCTTCTAACAAATCTCAGTTTTTAGAGCACAGAGAAATTTTTAAAAGCCACCCTCTCTGTTAAGCAAGGTTTCAATTGAGTGAGAGGTAAGAGAATAGTAGCACAGTAGTATAAACTGAAGGTCATCAGATACCTTCAGCCACAGAGACTCTAGCTTCAGAGTGGGTGTAGAATGAATTCCTATGGAAACGGCTCAGCAGGGGGTTGGAAGTTAGAGGGGAAGGTAATCAAGGGGAATCTTTGAAGAAAGAACCAAAAACATCTGGGTTTGTTACTGTTGTTTTCGTGGTTTCCTGTCTCTTCTTTAATTAATTAATTTATTTATTTATTAATAAAAATTTCCACGTCCTCCCCTCCTCCCATTTCCCTCCCACACCCCTCCCCCTCCCTCTCCAGTCCTAAGAGTGATAGAAAACTTGCACCTGATTGGCCTTTTCTCTGGAAGCTGTCTGGATATTTAATAGTAATTGAAAAATACTGAAAAAATAATTTTAAAAAAATAAGATTTTTTTTCTTTTCAATATTGTGGCTCTCAGTCAAATCATCATGTAAGTCATTTCCTCATTTATTTTCCAGGATGCTGTATACAACAGTAAAGACTGTCCATAGTCTGCCTAAAAGTTCCACAAGACCTCTGGTTCACAAAAATGAAGAGAATGATCATGAGCCAGCAGCTGATACCACAATCATAACTTTTCCTTCTTGATTTTATCTTTCTGCCTATAAAGTGCAAGACTATTGTTGGAATCTCAAAGGCATTTCTTTCTACTCATTAAATTAATTGCAAATATCGATGCTCCTTTGTGTGATCTTTTAAAACTGGGGGTTTAAGAGGCCTGCCACCCTCCACTCTAAAGTGAGAATAAGAAAGGAGGGTGTCTCTCCCTGGCCTTGCTGAGTTCCCTCTCAGGTGAAGAGCTCAGCTACCTTCTCATCACCACCTCTGTTCAGCATCCTTGGCATTATCCTGCTGGGGGTCTGAGGCTGGGATGTGCTCCCAGCCCTGCTGTCACCAGGGCTTTGTGTCTACAAGAATTAGGAAAAAAAGATGGTTCCACATATACCACTCAATCAATAGAGCTCCTCATGTAAATAGGTTCAGGGAAAGAAATCATGATCATCTCAAATGAGGAAAAGGGCTTTTACAAATTTCAGAGGATTTTTGTTTGTTTGATTTTTGGTTTTTTTGGGGGGGAGGGAGTTTCTTTGAGAAGTATTTAAAATACTTCCCTTAATGGAAAAATGTCTTGGTTAACATAGGTATCAAAGGAAATGACAACATAATAAATGTTTCCTATGTTAAAATTAATAAAATAAAATAAAATAACAAGATTCTGATGCAAGAAAAGTAAACTGCTTCTGTTAGGGACCGAGAGAAGCCCCTGAGGAAAGACCAACAGCCAAACAAGCAGTAACAAGAGCGCTTTATTATTTCCAACACTAAGTGGCACATGGCAACAGCACAAAGAAGGTCACAACCTCCTTTTAAGCAGTTAGGGGAATCCCAGGGAGGAGGGATTAATGTAGGGCTGATTGGTGGGGGAAAGATTAGTCTGGGAACTGATTGTTGGGAGGGCTTAGTAGTAAGGGACCTTTGTGTAGCAGGAAAGGGAAAGCTATCTTAAGCTTGTAAAAGGTTGGGGGGCATCTGCTGAGCTAGCAGAAAGGCTTTGGGGGCCTGCAGAGTCAGCAGAAGACTTGGGATATCTGCTAGTTGGTTGCCAGTAGGTAGTGGTTTAATTGAGGACTGCCTGTTTAGTTCTACTCCATTTTAGTGAATCAAAGCTAAGAATTAAATTTCTATCAGGCTACTAGGAGAGCCTGGCTTATGCCCCCCCACCCACAACTCTCTCAGTTTCCTCTAATAATAAGGAAGGAGAGAAGTGTGTCTGTTCTCTGAGTGCTTTCCACTGGGGTGCCTGTAGTGACTGAGCTTAAGAAATGTCTCCCATAGGCTTCTGTGTTTGAACCCTTGGTCCCCAGTTTGTGGAGATGTGAAGTCTTATGGAAGCTTTAGGACAGTAGGTCTCCACCTTCCTAATGCTGCAGCCCCTTAATACAGCTCCCCACGTTGGAGTGACCCTCAGCCCCGCAACCTTAAAGTTATTTTCATTGCTACTTCATAGCTATAATTTTGCGACTGTTATGAGTCGTCATGGAAACATCTGGTATTCGGGGCAGATGATGTGAGATCCCTGTGAATGGTAAAGGTGGAGCTCTGCTGGCAGAAGACATCACTCAGAGGATCTGAGGTTTTAAAGCCTGGCCCCACATCACAATTCCCTTCTTCACAGATGAAAATGTGCACAGTCAGCTTCCTGTCCCACTGCTATGTCACCCTTACCTATCACCTTCCCTTCCTGCTGTGATGGACTCTGTCACTCTGAACTTTAAACCAGAATGAATCCATTCTTTCCTAACTTGCTTCTTTTTTTAATTTACTTATTTATTTATAAAAATTTCCACTTCCTCCCCTCCTCCCAATACCCTTCCACTCCCACCACTCCCTCTCCTCCTCCCTCTCCAGTCCTAAGAGCAGTCAGGGTTTCCTGCCCTGTGGGAAGTTCAAGTTCCTCCCCCCTCCCTCCAGGTCTCGGAAGGTGAGCATTCAAATAGACTAGGATCCCAAAAAGTCAGTACATGCAGATGAAACAAGACCCAGTGCCATTATCAATGACTTCTCAGTCAGATTCCATGTCAGCCACATTCAGAGAATCCGGTTTGATCACATACTCTTTCAGTCCCAGTCCAGCTGGCCTTGGTGAGCTCTCATTAGATCATTCCCCTTGTATCAGTGGGTGAATGCACCCCTCACGGTCCTGACTTCCTTGCTTACGTTCTCCCTCCTTCTGCTCCTCATTTGGACCTAGGGAGTTAAGTCCAGTGTTCCAATGTGGGTCTCTGTCTCTATCTCCATCCATCGTCAGATGAAGGTTCTATGGTGATATGCAAAATATTCATCAGTATGGTTATGGGCCAACGCCAGTTCAGGCACCCTCTCCTCTGTTGCCCAGGGAACAATCTGGGGACCTCTCCTTGAACCTGGGAACCCCTCTAGAATCAAGTCTCTTGCAAACCCTAAAATGGCTCCCTTAGTTGAGACATTTACTTCCCTGCTCCCATATCCATCCTTCCTCCCTCTCCCCCATCCCATTTCCCCAAGCCATCCCCAATCCTCCCTTCTTCCTTCTTTCTAACCATCTCCCCTTACTTCCACCTCCAACCCCCCACCCCCGTGCCCCCAAGTTTGCCTGGCAATCTTGTCTACTTCCAATATCCAGGAGGATAACTATATGATTTTCTTTAGGTTCACCTTATTATTTAGCTTCTCTAGGATGGAAATCAGTGTGGCGGTTTCTCAGGAAACTGGGAGTCAACCTCCCTCAGGACCCAGCAATTCCACTCTTGGGAATATACCCAAGAGATTCCCTAACATACTACAAAAGCATTTGTTCAACTATGTTCATAGCAGCACTATTTATAACAGCCAGAACCTGGAAACAACCTAGGTACCCCTCAATAGAAGAACGGCTAAAGAAGATGTGGAACATATACACATTAGAGTTTTATTCAGCGGTAAAAAACAATGACATCTTGAATTATGCATGCAAATGGGTGGAAATAGAAAACGCTTTATTTTTTGGGTAACCCAGACCCAAAAAGAGTAATATGGTATGTACTCACTCATAAGTGGATTCTAGCCATAATTAAAGGGCTTTGAGCCTCTAATTCATGATCCTAACTTGCTTCTTGTCAGGGAACTTTATCACAGAAACCGAAAACTAGTTTCTAGAGTTGCCTAAATTTTCAGCCAGAAAAACAGCATAAAAATAAATACACTACAAATAACACGGGAAGAAATCAAACTGTCCCTGTTTGAAGATGATATGATTATCTTCATTAATTAAAACAGTCTCGGAGTGCAAAGGGACGGGAGTCCCTTTTTTCTGATAGCCGGCCTGCAGCAAGCTAAGACCGCAGGCAGGGAGTCTTCTGACCAGTGAGGGGATCTGATCCTGTGGAGGGTTGAGTGTGTTGACCGCCATACAACTCCGGTTAGGTACACACGGTATTCCCACCATCCTTATCTCCCTGGCTGCTCCAAAGGGGCAGCTTCCCCCAGCTAATCCCTCTCTTCTGCTACGCCATCCCAGCTTTCTGCCTGGAACCCCTCTCCTCCCCTCTCCCTCTTTCGGGGCTTAAAGTCCTCCATCTCAGCCAGGGTGGGCACCGCGGGCCGGGTCAGGTGGTGAGTGCAAAGGAAAGGAAGTCCCTTTGTTCTAATAGCCTGCCTGCAGCAAGCTAAGGATGCAGGCAAAGTGATTCCTGGATAGCAAGGGGCACTAATCCAGTAGTAGAAGACCCAGCGGAGGGAAGAGCCATTGGAGAGCATCTGAAGGAAGAGATGGGCAGGTGCCAAGGCAAAAATTCCTCCAACAATCTGAAAAACAACATGAAAACACCAGATCCCAGCGATCTTACGACAGAAGGACTTGAACGCCCTATTCCGGAAGAAGTGGAAAACAGTGTCATTATGAAAGCAATAGAGTCTCTTAAACAGGGTATGAATAACTCACTTAAAGAAATAGAAGACAAATATAACAAAAAGATGGAAGAAATGAGTAAAGAAATGGAAGACAAATATAACAAAAAGGTTGAAGAAATGAGTAAATTCGTAAATGATACCCTGGGAAACCGAGAAAAAGCAATCAAACAGGTAATGGAATCAGTTCAAAAATTGAAAACTGAAATGGAGGCAGTGAGGAAAACACAAACCGAGGGCCGGCTGGATATGGAAAACCTAGGTAAACGAACGGAGACTACAGAATCAAGCTTAACCAATAGAATACAAGAGATAGAAGAACGAATCTCAGATTATGAAGACACCATAGAGAAAATAAACGCCCTGACCAAAGAAAACAGCAAATCCAACAAATTCTCATCACAAAACATTCAGGAAATATGGGACATAATAAAAAAAACCAAATCTATGAATAATAGGAGTAGAAGAAGGAGAAGAATTGCAGATCAAAGGTCCAGAAGATATATTCAACAAAATTATAGAAGAAAACTTTCCCATCCTAAAGAGGGATATTCCTATGAAGGTGCAAGAAGCACACAGAACACCGAATAGATTGGATCAGAAAAAAACATCCCCTCGCCATATAATAATCAAAACACAAAGCAGTCAGATTAAAGAAAGGATATTAAGAGCTGCAAAGGAAAAAGGTCAAGTAACTAATAAAGGTAAACCTATCAGACTTCTCTATGGAAACCATGAAAGCCAGAAGGTCCTGGATAGAGGTACTGCAGAAATTAAGGTACCATGGATGCAAGCCCAGACTACTTTACCTAGCCAAGCTTTCATTCACTATCAACAGAGAAAACAAAATATTCCAGGATAAAAACAAATTTAAACAATATGTAACTACTAATCCAGCCTTACAGAGAATACTAGAAGGAAAATTACATCCCAAGGAATCCAACATTGCCAACACTGACTACAATAATTCAGACATCTAGCGACCCTTCACTAGCACAATTCAAAGAAGGAAAACACATACACTCTATTACCCCCCCCAAAAAATGACTGGAGTCAACAACCAATGGTCATTAATATCTCTTAATATCAATGGACTCAATTCACCTATAAAGAGGCACAGACTTAGAGATTGGTTACGAAAACAGGATCCAACATTCTGCTGTTTACAAGAAACACACCTCAACCACAAAGACAGACACCTACTCAGAGTAAAGGGTTGGGAAAAGGTTTTCCAAGCAAATGAACCTA